ATCGTTTCTTTCATTCGTTTTTGCATGTCTCAAGTCCATCACGCACAGTTGTATCAAAACGATCAAGTTGATCTAGCCTTGACTCATTGCGTTCAATATTCACTTTTATGTTATCAATATCAAGTTTTATTTTCATATATATTTCGTTTAATACGTCCAGCTGAGTGACAATTTGATTTTTCGTATTGTCCACTGATTTAGCTAAAGAACCAATATCCAATGACAAATCAAAACAACGGTGACAAAACCATTTTAATCCTTTAGAATTTTTCAAAATTTCCAAAATGTCATCATTAATTTCACATTTGTTGTGGGCGCAAGACTTGCAACATGCACAAATCAACAACTCCTTACTCGGAACTACTTTTGCACACTTCGTACAGCTGTAACGCGAGCTCATTGTATTTGTTGTATCTAATATTATAATTAGCTTCAGCCAGATTTTTAACAGCAGATAATTTATTCAATCACGTGACAATAATTCGAAACAAAACTTTATCAAATTTAACGAAAAAAACAAAATTTTATGAATTAAATTTAATACCAGCTTATTCTAGAAAATTTACTACTGCAATTTACGAAATTGTTAACATTAAATAACTACTTTTAACCGAGAAGAAAGCAGAAATAACAGCTAAAACAACAAATTCAAACAACAACCAATGTATCCAAATGTATATATATATATACATATATATATATATATATATATATATATATGAAATTTGGGTACTGACTTTTGTATTCACAATTATTAAAAATATATCACTGTATCCCCACATTTTCCGCATTGTTGATTTTTTAGCAAAGTTTTTCAATTTTTCGAGTAGTTATTTTATCTATATCATTCAATTTATTCAAATTAATAGTAAAATTTCTAATTATTTTTGACTGCATTTTTCATATATACATTTACATAAAAGCTTTTTACGGTAACCTTTACCATCATCAATGTAATACTGTTTGTGGTATTGTTATGTAGTTTATCCGGTATTTGTAGTATTTTTAACAAAGGAACTCTAAGCTCCATTGTTACTTTGTGTGAGTAAATTCTTTGTTGGTAGAAAGGTTACAGCATGTTGTTAGATGTTTATTACAGGGTTTCTATTTTCTATTGATAAAGCCTCTGCCATTCTCAATTTTTTTATATTACGGTTGTAACATAACACTTTGGTATTTGAGTTTAATATTTTCTTTGTTACTTTTACAACACAGAATATATCGGATTTTATGAAGAAGGTTAACAATGCCTACACAAAATGGTGCATTAACAAATTATCTAATGGATTCACACCAAATAAAAATAACAAGAGAAATTATAGCGTTAGCAAGATATACTGAAAGACATAATAAAATATTGGTTGAAAGTATACGCTCCTGCAAATTGCCTCATATTTGCAGACTACCCATTATCACATCACAGCTGTTCAACACACTGCGACTCGTTATAGCCATACTTTGTGATGATCAAATTGAAATTCTTGAACTAACTGTGTGCCATGAAACCAACCCGCTGTCCTCAAGACAATATAAAAGAAATAAATATTCTGACAATTTACGCTGCTATTTAAATGAGTTATAAATATTGCTCAATTATTATTAATACGTTTGAGATATCTTTTGTTGGTTTTTATAACAATTTTAATCTATCTCTATTTTATGTCCAATAGCCAATCTCTTTTAATGGTAAATTGATAAACTTTGTTATAAGGTTATCATATGGGATTTATTGTGACAGAAAAAAACAATAACGCTTATTTAAATATATTGCACTTGCCACCCCAATGAGCAAAGTAGTCCACTCTTATCATTACCCTATTATCTTATTGAATTATTTTAACTCTTTTATTATAATTTTCAGCGTATGTTTTATTGGAAGATAGAATGAGGTCTCAATTATTATTATTATTTCAATTATTATTATTATTATTGCTGTTGTTGATGATGTTGTTGTTATTATCATTATTATTATCATCATCATCATTGTTAGATTGCTGGCGGATCCAATTTACGTTATTGTTGCTCATCCTTCGAGTTGGAAGTGTTATTGGGTGTTGTGGAAAGTTTCTAAGTGGTTAATTGCCCCGTCTTTGTTGTGCATAGCGAGTCTACGCGATAGTGTTGTCGTAGTCATTCTTATATAGGAGGTAAGAGATTAATTAATTAGGAACCTTCTAGATCAGAAAAGAAAGTGTGAAGTGCAAGTTTTTTTAAATAAAAAAATGAAAAAGATAAACTCCGATTGAGTATTTCGAGCATTACGCCTCGTTTGGATAAGCCATGCTCAAGACTCACACTAAAATTAAATGTAGCATTATTTCTAATGTCCTTGGTACGTTAAAAAAATTCCGGTTTATTATTATTCATTATTCATTATTGTTAGCAAGTGATATTTGTTCATTGTAAAAGATGCAATTACAATTTGTTTCATTTTTGACATAAAAATTGATGATATGAGATACGCGTGAGAATACGGTTTATGCAAACATCAATGTAAAACGAACGATAATTTTTAATTTGAAGTTATAACATTTATTAAAATATATAATAAATTATTTTAAGTAACAATTTTAATACACCTATACATAGTCAAGTGTGGTAACGGTAGTTGTCTAAGTTTAATAGTTATTCTATGAAGTATGTTATACTAACTATGTGTAGCTGTTACGTAATTATAAGAAATAATAATTATATATATATATAATATGTAACAAAATTTTCAGTAGTGGTTCGTGGCTGAGACACCCATCTTTTAAGTGGTCCTTGAATCTCAAAAGGTTGAGAAGCGCTGTTCTAGATAGCAACAAAAAATTTTATACAACAATCAGCAGCACTACAACCTAAGAACCGCAGAAGCCATTTTTATCGAATCTGAAAAACCTTCTATCAACATCCGAAAACAAATCAAGACAACACTTCCAACTCGAAGAATGAATGATCAACAATAACGTTAGTCGGATCTGCCAACAACAATCTAACAATGATGATTATGATAATGATAATAACAACATCATCAATAACACCAGCAATAATATAAATAACAATAGTAATAATAATGACAATAATAATAATAAGAACAATAATAACGACGATAATAATAATAAATTGAACCAATTTCGAGACTCACAATTTTGACGCTGTTTTGCCACCTTGACAACTATTGTTCAATATTTAAAAATTATCAAGTTTTTTGTTATTAAAACATTTCGTTAGATTTTATGTTATTTTTCGAATTTATTTGTATATATTTTTAATAATATATATACTAAAAATACTATAATATACTAAAAACCCACAATTTTGAAAGAAAATTATTTTTTTTAGAATGAAAAAAAGCAATTGAAAAAAAGCTATTGAAAAAAAGCAATTCATGTTTATCCAATAATTTTTCATCGAGATAACAATCTATCTCTTGTTCAAATTAATATATTTTAATCGCTATAACAGCAATGATTGCCAAAATAAATTTTACGTTAATAATAATTAACCATAACATTGTTTTAGGAATAAAAAAAGTGATGGTTTAAACGAAAATTACAATAGTCGGCTAATTGCCGACTATCAATTTTTGGCTGGATATTCGGTTCGTCTCTGTTAAAAAAGTATAAATTGCAAAGGTTTTTAAGTAAGCATTCGAAAATTTTTATAAAATTTTTTATCGTCCACTTATACAAATAATTCAAAATTTAAATTCAGGGAGGAAAAAACTATGCAACAATTCGTAAAATAATATTAATTAAATGAAGTTAATATAAATAACAATATTTTAAAATAAATATTTAATTGACATTATTAAATAGCAAGAATGTATACGATATATAATGAAAATTCAAATAAATTATAATATGTTTATGAACTTACTTAAGTGCATGTTAAACTGCAAAATAATAACTTTAATTAAATTTAAGGATAACCAATCCACGTTGGGTTATAGTAAAATTTTGAATCAAAAAATTTTCCAAGCGCCGTGTTCTTCGTGGGATACTTGCTGTAATAAAAGGTAGTTGTGTTGGCCAACCAGCCAGACCACCACGAAAATGTTCCAGTTGACGTGATAACTGCATCACTTTTCGATATCAAGCACATGTCGAAGATGGCATCATGTTTTTCTGAAATTACGAATTTCGTGTTTTCAAAAGTTTGAGTTGAAGTTAACTTTCTAATAGTTTCATTTACCCATTTCGTATCTTCGCTGCACAAAAAATAGATGATGAACGATTTAGAATTTTTGTTGAATAATTTGTAGATGTAATTGGCTGTGTAGTTTATGTACTTCACATCAACCACAGTGCGTCTAGACGCTACAAAATCACCTCTCCTAATGTGCACTCCAACAGTTTTTGTCGGATATTCAGATGGGATGTTGCTTTTATGTTCCATAATAAACCTGTCAACGACTTCAAGGGTTTTGTGTTTGAAGGAGAATTCGCGCTTTAATTTGCTCTCGTATCCCACAGTGTATAAGTAACTTTCAAAATATCCACTAATCAGTATTATCTGGGTGTTTTTCATCTCAATGTCAAAATGAGGAAAACTGAAAATTGGGTCAAAAACAACCGGTGTAAACCGTTCTCTTAAAACCTGAGATCGATTTTTGTCGTAGAGAAAATTATTTGGCAATCTTGGTAACGTTGAATCGTTGAAATATTTATCGATCCATCCATATGGAATATCGGTTGGTAGAACTGCCGTTCTGTTGGAATGTTCAGCAACGTAAAAGAGAGCAGCTAAAACGAACATCAAGTTACCCAGTCTTCAGCCGTTGAAAACATCACTGGCTATGGAAACTAATTTTGTCTCGTTAAGTGGTAAAATTTTTGTTGCAATTTTTTGTTTACTGAAAATTGATAGCACCAAATTTTTACTCTTTAAAATTTTTTCTTCAATAGAATACATGGAAAAGTTGTCCCAAACAGTGTAAAACGCTAAAAAACAAATTAATAAAAAAAATGAAATTTTCAGCATGCCTTGATTATTTTTGGACGACATAATTCATAATTTATCTCACTGAAAAAATGGAAATTTTTGTTATAATCTAAATAGTAGCAACATCAAAAGTGAGTTATATTGAAATGTATGGTCCTACCGCTGAAGCATCATATGATATTGTTAATTTGGAGGTAAATCTATAATAAAAGATGCATTCATAAATAATTAACAAATCTAACAGAGAGAGAAAGAGAGAGAGAGAGAGAGAGAGAGAGAGAGCAATAACCACAATTTTATGATTATTCAAATATATATGATGTTAGATCCATGCGTCTGTGTACTTGATATGCATTCATTTATTATTGTTAAAGTTATTATTATATAAATGACATATACAAGTGTATGATATATATCTGAATAAACATAAGCATATATATTATTACAAATTATTATTACAAATCAATTTGTACACCACCAATTACAAAAAGGTTTCAAAGACTGTCATAGAGAGGTTAAGCTCTCATCACAATTAAAACACTCCCTTGGCGTGCGTCAGTTTCTATAGATTCTTTACATCTTTCTACAGAATCGCTATCAAACCATAGTGCAGCATTTGTCTGTTTAGCATTTGTCAGCATTTGCATAGGCAACAAATTTCAGAAATTCGTTTTATTTTACTAGTCAACACAGCAAATTCGTGGTCAACATCATCAGTTTGGCATTTATTCGCCATAGGAGAATCCGCTAGTGCTTCAACAAAACATCTTTCATTCAGGTCCTTCCACGATCTGACATAAGCTTTCACCAACTTTTGGCAAACTTTAGTCAATGCCACTTTCACGCTTAATAACTGTAATCTGAGTACATTGAACACAGATCACTCTTCGTATCTAGAATTAGAAAATTGTGTGAACAAATCACTAGATCTAACGTACTTCCAGACACATGTGTTTGTTGGAACATATCAAATATTTCATGTAATGGTAGAGTAATAGAACTATCTCTCTTCTCAACGTGAATGTTAAAATCACCCATAAGTACAACTTGAGCCTCCAACATTGTAATAAATTTCAACATAAAAATCAACTCTTCAAAGATTACTGAAGTCATTTGTTCTCAACTAAGTCTATAGAGAGTAATTAAACAGTAATTAAATCGTCAAGTGTTTAACTATTTTTTCTATTATATATTATATACTGTTCAATTTTTGACGTGATGTTTTCCATTCTTATCATCTGGCTTTCTATTTTTGCGTCAATTACGGCCGATTGCTGTTCTGTTTTGAAATACATCTGTTCTCTGAGTTCTCGCAATTGTTGTTCAATTTTAGCATCAATTTGATCTTTCGTTTGTTTTATTGACTGTTGTTCAATTTTTGTATCAATTTGATTTCTCGCCCATTTTCTTTCTGTAGATTGTTGTTTTATTATTATACTCGTTTATTATGAACAAACAATAAATTTGTTACATAATGGAGAATTCCAAAAGAATAAATCTTAACGAAGCGGAATCCCCAACAAGCTGTGTTGCTGGTATCGTTAGAGGTAGTACCGTTAATTTGGTGTTTGCCCCAGCAGTTACAACTACATTTAATTCGACATCCTGATCGCCAAACTCAAACTCATCTGGATTTTCGTTTTCGTTAACAAGGGCTTCCGTTAGACGTGCTATCAAAGCTCCTCTGTATCCACTTGTAGCAAGATTTCGTTTTTGTAATTCTTCTTTGAGTTGCACCAATTTAAGTTGATGTAGTTTCGTTATGTTGTTTTTACAAAATAACATGTCGACAAAAAATCCAAATGTTTCAACAACGATGCTCGCTTATTTTCCACCGAAGATCCCCTTATGATACCAATGTTAAAACTGGCCGGTTGACAACGCGTTCGTTTCATCCCAGTGGAAAATAGCAACACGAAATCGTTTCATTTGTTTACAAGTCAATTAATCAATAATCAGTTGGTGTTTTTTGAATTAGTGGTAACTAGTTTTCAGTTTAAATTTATGTTATGGATAGCAAAAACGTTTTTTCAGATTTTTCGGAGGATTTGACTGCTGGGGGCTGGGTTGGTGGCTTGTGGATATTGAAGAAATGAACCGATAAATTTTTCTTCTGTTTCTGGATGGCAAAGAAGACTCAAATGCCATTTAGGAAGTAAAAGTCTGCTGCCATGCTGATAATTAAAAACTGTTGGAACAATGTTAATTGAATACCAGACTAATTGTTTATATTTTATTAATAATTTTCAATATTTTCGATTTTATTTTCATTAGTGGAATTAGTTATCTAACTTTTGTTTTTTGGTTATATTTATGTTGTGTGTAGGGTTTCATTGAAATGGTTGGGTGGTGTGCCTGCCAGTTGGTTTTACGCTTGTCTGACATTCATATTTAAAGTTATTCAGTTTTAATAATTGTTTACTGTTCGCCGTAGTTGGAACTGTCTGACCTGAAAACGAACTGTTTAACTTTATGTTCCGTACATGCCATGTCTCTTCCGACAAATACTTTAAAAGTTAATTATAAAAATAATAATAATAATAAATTTATAAATTAATTAGGATTGCCAATCTCACAGGCTTGCTAGCTATTAATTTTTTCGATCAAAATTGATATTTATGTAAAATATTAAAAACGATTTTGCTCTAAGAAAACTTAAAAAATTGAAAATTTTGATGTAAAATATTAAAAACGATTTTGCTCTAAGAAAGCTTAAAAAATTGAAAATTTTGAAAAAATTTTATTTAAAATTTTCTGGTTTTGTGCATGTGTTTCATTTAATGGTCTGATCTCGCATTATCTTGATACAGATTTCGTTACATGTAATGTACTGTAGCTCGAAAATGTGTTACAATAAATAAAAAAATTTTCATTCTGTAAGTTAAACTTTCAAACAACAATCAAGATATAAAACACGAAAAATGAGCCTTATAATTAAAAAAAATATTGGTTACATTAAGTAAAAGTGAAATAAATTATAATTATAAAAAGATTAGCTACGCAAAGTAGAAATTAAATAGAGCTTTGAAAATATAAGCAATCAAAGAAAAAAAATAAAATGGATAGATAAATCTATGAAATTAAAAAACAAGACAAAAACGATAACTTTAAATATCATTATTTCACATTATTGTTTCGTTTGCAATTTTCTTTAAATTTGAAATATTTACTCAACAAGAAAGTTTATTTTAGATACACTGAAATTGATCCTATCTGTAGCCCGTACGAGAGATTATTTTCTTTTGTGTCCTCAACTTTTTAATTTTTTTTCTCTTCAATGTACTTTTAAAAATTGCACTATTTAAAAAACTTCTTGGTAATTTAATTGAAATTTGAATTTAAAACATACAACTTGTAAAACAAGGCGGTCAATTTTAATTTGCGCGTGGTTGTCAGACGGTCTTGGCTCTGCTGATCTCGATAAATGAATATAATTCATATACCAATAAGCATCATAAAATATACTATAAAAATATACCATAAGAATAGCAAGAGTGATATGTAATAATGAAATTAAAACGAGCGATGTTCAATAGAGATGCATGAAACAAAATGTTAGCAAAGAAGTTTGGTTAATAAACTTTTTTTTATTTGAAATCATTTCTTTGTTTGTCATAATGTTCATGTTTAACATATCATCCACTGTTAATTTAACGAAACTTGTGTTCATTGTTAGTTTTATGTATAATATACTTTGTTAATTTTGCTGAAACTTGTAAAAGTTATCAGAAATTTATTTTGTTTCTTTTAGACAAGTTTTTTGGAAAGTATTTGCAGATATTCTTTTGTGAACTACCTTACGCAATTTATCTACCCAGAGGCGTATTTACAAAAACTGTGGCCCTAGGCGCACGACCAATTTGGGGCCCTCTCGCCTATAAGGCGATCAATGATCAAAATACAACAATAGTTAGAACACTCATACCCATGTATTATTTAACATGCATAGATACTACAGCTATAGATACTAGTTAAAAATTATAATTGTCAGTTTATTACAGTTATATAACTTTTTTCCTGCTCTTCAATTTCGCGAAGGAGTCAATGTGCGCATTGAAATCGTATTCTAATGTCTCCTTTGATTCAATGCATAAAATAAACAAATCTCCAAGCTTACATTGGCTGATGGAATTCCGCAAGTAATTCTTGATCTTTTTCAACACAGAAAATGACCGTTCTCCAGTTGCGTTTGATATAGGAATGGTGAGAAAGATTCTTAGAAGGGTTTCCACATTGGGAAATGTACATTGTAGTCCACCCACCACTATAAGCTGGTACATCTCTACCGCAGATTTTGCGCCTTTTTCCTTAGCGAAATGCAAAAACTGTTTGATTTCATCGCCAGCGGTATCAGAATTAACATCGTCTTTGTATTCTTCGATCAAGGCCGAGATCTTTGTGTTCATGTCATCTACCTTGTCCTTGAAAAATAGACTGAACAAATCATGTATACCTTTGTATGCTTCGATTCTGTGATCAAGTTCCATGATCAATTTATCAGAAATGTCGTTTACTGTGTTAACAATAAAATTATCACGACCAGTTAAAATAACTTCCGCTTCAATGCTTTCATCAGAAAACGGTTTTCGCTTTTTCTTGCGGCTCACTTCATCTTGATATTTACAGTCTTTCGGATCCTCGTTAATAAGCAATGCTGCTCGTTTTTCAATACGAGTGAAATCGTTTCGGACTTCATTGTTAATAAAAAGCTTCAGTGATTCTAGAAGATTTAAACCAGAATCAAGATATAAATTTGAATTTTGCAGGGATTTGCTGGTTGCATTCATCCGCTGTAAAATTGTATCCCAAAGAACAGTCATCAATGCAGTTTCAAAAAGATCCATTTTATTAGCAAGAGCATTAGCCTCATTTCTTACAGACGCCTTTTAAAGATCCATTTTATTAGCAAGAGCATTAGCCTCATTTCTTACACACGCCTTTTGATCACGACCTTCGGCTGCTTGAAAAAGAGCTTCCTGAATACCAATGTAGTTCTGATGCAATGCAAACACTGCATCCGCTCTAGCTGACCACCTTGTGTCCGATACTTTCTTTATGGTGCATCCACTTTTGACTAGATGACTTTTAAGTATGTTCCACCTGTGTGTGGATGATGAGAACCACACATAAACTTTTTGAATAAAGTCAAAGTATGATACTGCTGAAAGCGACGATTCTGCAGCCGAATTACCAACTAGATTTAAGCTATGGCTAGAGCAGGGAATGTAAACTGCATTGGGACTGTGTGCCTTGATTCGCGCTTGCAAGCCAGAGTATCTGCCAGACATGTAAGAAGCATTGTCGTAGCTCTGTCCCCCGCATTTTGTGATATCTAACCCCCATTTCTTCAAAGTGTCTAGTATCACTTGCTCCAGATTTTGAGCGTTATGAGCATAGATGTCAACAAAAGTTAAAATTCGTTCTTTAATTTCACTATCAATGAGAACATATCTGAGTATCACAGTTAACTGGTCCACGTGGCTAACATCAGGTGTTGAATCAACAATCAAGAAAAATATATCGATTTCTTTACTTCTGAAATAAACTGATCTCTGACAGCGTTGCCCATTATTTCAATAAATTCGTCACAAGTAGCATATGACAAATAACTAACAGAACCACTTCCCTTGTTACCGTATCGCGCAATATGATTTGCTAAGAAAGGGTCAAATTTTGACAAATAATTCAAGCAACTAGTAAAGTTGCCGTCATTGTTGTCATGACCACGAAAAGCCAAATCTTGAGAGGAAAGAAACTGTACAGTTGCTACAATCCTTCGTAGAACTTCTATCCAGTATTGCCTTTCATCATCTGACTGTTTCGCCATTTGTTTGTCAATACGCCCGTTTGCGTTTAAGCGTTTAGCCAAAGTGCACATTGCTTGAACATGGCCATACGAATTTTCATGTTCAGAAATTTTCGCGGCAATATTTTTCCAATCTGAACACCCATTTGTTGAAAATTGACTAGCTTTATTTGGAAACAGTTTGCATACATAACAATAAACACTTCCACTAGTTTCATTGAACACTAACCATTCACGTCTTTCTTTTTGGCCATTCGCCTTGGTCAAGTAAAAGTTATGTTCAGACAAATGACGAAAATATTGTCTGCCACCATCTGTCATCAACATGCTAGCGCGTGAAAAGTCGCCAACATTTTTTGGTTTGAAATCCAAAACATAATTACGCATGGTTTCTGTCAAATTCGCTGGCCACATAGCAATATCTGTCAAAATTTTACTACAGTTGCTATCAACAGTTTCAATACTCGCGACCTCTATAGAACCTTCAGCCGGCGGTTCAGATTCTGGCAATTCTGTTGGATAGGACTCAGAATCCATACTGGCTGTTGCCGAGACGACTGCACTTTGATTACCAGCTGTTATTTCTGTTTAAGTAGTTTCTGATGATGGGGTTACCGGTCGTTTCGCTAAAAATGTCAACAAGGCGTCTTCGTTTTTCGCATCTTCTGCTTTTCTTTTCTTTTGAATATCACGTTTTTTTGCATCTGAGGGATATTGTCTCATAGACATTGTTTTAATGAAACGATTGTGTTGCAATCAGCAGCAGAAAGGAAAAATGATCATTCATCCACACAGTGAAATTATTAAAATAGTGTAATAAACTGGCAATTAACAATTAGTTATTGCAAAAAATTAAAATTTGAATTGAAATTTTTAATTGAAATCTGTGACGTAAAATGCGCCAACAGTGGTCGAATTTTACCGCAATTCAAAAGTTTGTTTACATTTTTAATTTAGGGTTGAGCGAAAATTCGCGCGC